GCACCATCGCCGGGGCTCCTCTGGCCCGGCTCCAGCAGCTCCGTGTCTGTCCTGTGCTGAGGACCCCAGAGCAGAGCAGAGCAGGAGAATCCCCCTCCTCGACCTGCTGGCCATTCTTCTTTTGATGCAGGCCAGGATACAGTTAGCTTTCTATGTGCTGGGTTGTGTTAAGCTTCTCCTCACTGCTGCTCCACCCAAGCAGCAAACTTCCCCAACTCCCTACTCAAAGAAGTCCCTGTTGGACCACAATCTAAACTCAGTACTTCCACATCCTCCAGGTCACCCTATGACCTTCAATATCATTGGTTAAGTGGTTAGGATGTACCACCAAAAGATTGAATAAAACCACATTTTTGTGTGTCAGGATCTAGGTTCTGACCCTGTTTCCATCAAAGTCAACAGCAGAGAGTTCCCATGGACCTGGATGTGGCTGGGACTGGGGCATGGACCTCACTGCCTGTTTTAATGGGCTACTTTGAGACAACCTGGTGGGTTTGTCTCACTCCAGGTACACTTTCCTCTGCAGAAAGTACAGTCCACACCATTAAAGGGAGTACAACGTATGACTCAAGTTGTACTAAGCTCTTTTGGTTTTAGGCTTCCTACCATTCCACTGCAACCTCATTTAAGTTAACAGAGGCCTTATTCCCCCGTTACTTTGTACCACGATCTCGACCTTCTGGTTCCCAAAAATCAGCATTATGGGTGAGTTTGTAGAGAATTCAAAGGAAAGCAGAAAAAAAACCCCCAAAATTAGCTTACCTATGAAATACGCCAGCAGGATCACCAGCGTGACAGAGATGACAATGGCACTCAGAGCGGCGCATTTCCAGTTACAGTACTTATAGGGTTTCTTCAGGTTAAAGGCAGGCCTAGAGAAGGTACTTCTGGGAAGGGGCCTGGGGGGAGGTGAGTACACAGTGCTGGACGTCAAGGGATATCCCGGCGACGTTGTACAAAAAAGGGGAGAAGTGCCTCCAGGTTTGAAGAGGAAGTGCCTGAGGGAAGAAAGAGCAACAGCAAGTGACTCCTCACACAGATGGAATCAGAGGGGAACCGTGGGGTGGGAGGATGGCGACTGCTGCCGGGACGAGGAAAGCAGCTCCACACAATGCTGGCTACGGACACGGATGGCATGCACGAAAAGAGAAGAGTAAAAATCCAAGGCAAGTCACACAGAGTAAAGGAAAAGAAAAGAAAACAACAACAACAACAAAAAATTCACAGTGCCAACAATGCCACAGAGAACTCTTGAAGGACAGGAGTCCCCTCTGTGGAAGAGCTGGCGTTAGAGTGAGATGAAAACCCCCAGCACAGCTACGACAGACTGGGGGCACGGGCAGCACCGGGGGCCTGCTCATGCCCTACGGAGACTGAAGAGGAGCGTAGGTCGGATTAAAGAAGGGAGGGTGTTTACCAATTCATTGATCACTGCATGAGAGCGTTTTTTATATGGCATCAGTGAATGGAGATGGGGGTACAGAGCTTAAGCCATTCCGTAGCACCCAAATTGTCACAGAGGGGAATATTCACACTGTCCCCACCTGGCAAATGTAAGCATTGGACAATGGCATGGCTAAAAGCATCCAAGTCCAGAATTCAAGTTCTGTGTATCGCCAGTGGGAAGAGGCACCTGCTTCCAGAAAGCACTCCAGAGAATCTCAGTTGGATGCCTACCTTTAAAAAGTGTGAATTACTGTCAAACGCAACAGTGTTTCCTGTCCAGTGACATATTGGGAGGCACCAAATTTTGCCCATAACTAAAAACGCAGCCTGAGAGCCAGCCTATGAGGATCTTGTGCGAGGCTCATGAAAGTCAGCGCAAAAAGAACCCATTGCAGTTCATGAGTTCCTGAAATGAAATGTCCCAACGGGAGTTCTCTCCGTGGGAATCCGAAATGAAAACCCTAATTTTGGTGGGACATCATGAAGTAGGAGGCATTAAAATTCCAGGAATGAAACTTGGGAAACAGATCTGACTCGTCTATCACCATGCTGATGTAAAACAAAAATGCAGCTAGTGAGGACTGAGAACCAGCCCCAGTGCAGTTTGCACCATCTGCCATGGTTTATGGGGACAGATTTGCAGCCAGCGTAAATGCAATCAGCATAGGTCCATGGGAGTCAGTCAAGCCAGTGGATTATACGGGATGAAGACATGACTCTATTTTCCTCTTGAAGTCACTTGTGCAAGCAGCGAGAGAAATGTCACATGCAAAAACATCACCATGCAGAAAAACATGCAGTATAAAGTAACACGTAATTCTCAAAAATTGGTGTTTGTGCTATTACAACAATGGTTTTAGTGGTACTCTAAGCATGACTCCTGAGCATTAGAGAAAGATTCATTATTTCTACTAATGCTCTACATCAAACCATTCATTTTTACAAAGAGTCAGATGTTTTGGAAGGTATTTATTTAGACACATGTATCTGTTCTGAGCAAAGAGGTACCTGCAGTGTTCAAGTACACCAATTAGATCTTCAGTTAATGATGGCTACCAAATTGGAAACTGCTAACACAAGGTCAACAGTTTCAAGTTAAAAACTGCTTATAACTTGAAAGTTAAATGATCAAAAGTTAGATAAAGATGCCAGAATGGGTGGTTAAGTCAAAATCAAAGGTTTGGCTTACATACACCACTAGCAGATGCTTGTAAGATAAGGTATGTGGAAAATATCAGTTTAACATAATAATGGCTTAAGATTTTCAAGAAAATGACATTAATCTTAGTTTATGTGGGACTCAAGATTGCTGTAGGTACTTCTTATCAACAAAATGACTTTCCAAACAACAAGGGGAAAAAAAGCAAATGGCATGCTGTGGCTCACTACAATATTAATACGTCTGCCATTAATATGTACAGGACACCATGCTCCAAGCTCCAGAACCTGATTTTTTCAGAGCCATCTTGGAAGAGGCCAGCAATGGTGTTGCCCTTAAACATCATTAATATGACCAAATGCTTTCATGCAAGGATCATAATGACTGTACAGTAAACACGTAGAAGACCACGTAAGTGTCACATACCCATCATTGTAAGCACCGTCATGTCGGGAGGAGGTGAGAATGTCCATCTCAATGAGGTTGTCCTGCAATGTCTCTAGGAATGTCTGCTTTGCTATGTTTCTACATACATATGGAAACATGAATGAAGCCAGTGAGTCATGCATATATGAAGTGTGATCTTATAAATCACAATGGTTATAGTGCAGTTGTGCATGGAATTAGAATGATGGACCATATATTTATATGTATAAGCTGCTACACATATACATATATAGCTTTTAAGAATGTTTACTTCTCTCTATATACACTATATATATGCATATACACACATATAAGCACGCACGCCCATGTGCATGTATAAAAAAAGTTGATGACTTTCTTCATTTCACATTATTTATTGCCAGTGACACATGAAACCTTCTGAGCTGCTGGATTCCAAAGACGACATTTCAATCCAGCACAGCTGTAGCCTCGTTATACTCTTGCATCTGTGCCACTGTCGCTCCGAAAGGCACAGCACAGGATCTATATCCCACTGTGGCCAATACCTTGGTAGCGCAGTTCCATCTGATGTCCTCATGGATTTCCAGCGAAAGTCTGTCACTCTTTTGCTTACGTTTCTGTTTTGCATTTGAGAACTTTTTAATTACCGATTTGATTAATTTGTTTTCCTTTGTGGAGCAATAACTTGCCATTTAGAAGTTTCAAAATGCAAGTTTTGCTCAATATGAGTATTCCAAATAAATGTCTCTCAGTGATAAACAGACAGAAGCTGGAAAAAGGTTATGCTGTAACCCAAATTCCCATACCAGAGTATTGGGGATGTACAGGCAATAGGCGAGATACTATGGGCTTGCAAATGAAAAAGCCTGGCTTTGACTTTGCACACGACAGTTCTATTTGGCAATATCTGACCTCCCCGGCATGTACTCTGATGAGTCACATTTTGACCTACATATGCTAAACAGTTTTGTAGTTTTTAAGGAGAATAGCAGGAACATAAAGTCAGACGCACAGTTGGAAACAGACTGTCTTTCTCACCTTCAGGCTCGTTTCTCAAGACCTGGTAAAAGAACATTCTTCCCATCTTTTTTTTTTTTTTTAAAGTCCTGATTTTGCCCACGTCTGTTTTCAGCATCAAAACTGAATCTAAGCCTGAATGGGAATAAATTCCCTGGCCAAACATAGAAAAAGGAACACAGCAGCATTGTGCCACTTTATCGCTTATACAGGAATAAGTGCTTACAGGATATAAGTGACATGATGTGAACTCAGAGGACTCCTCAGTCAAAGAAACTGGACTCTGGTAACACCAGAAACCAGCCCCGTCACATTATACAAACCTTGATACTAGCTCTTCTAAAATGTCCTCAACCTTAATTTTCATTTCTACTTCCTCCTCGTCCTGCTGCTAATGCCAGCACTTGTTTAGCTCAATTTACTACTTTTGGGGGCCTCTGGGTGGCTTTGAGAGAACAGATCTACTCCTTGATCTGAATGACAGTAAAGTGACTCCTACTTATGGCTTTGGAGTAAAGTGGATCGACATGCATGAGCTGTGTGCCAAATATCAATCCAGCCCCAAGTGTCGGTGGCTTTCCTCACATTCCCTGGGAATGCAGGAAAGGTTGGATGTTGAATTCAATGCAAAAAGAAGCAGCGTATGCGCATGCACGGAGCATTGAATGGGGAAGAGGCAAGGCATCTAGCAACACACCAACCAACAGAAGTTCATCAGGAGTTCAAATCCATCTCAAATTGTTTCCATGACTTTCAGTTGTGGATTTTTGATAAAGCAGAAGAGGGGAGGGTTCTATAATCTCATAATGTATGTAACAGAGAGGTCGCTGGGTCACCGAGGTGACTAATGCGTGACTGTCCTCTTCACTGAAGGCTGGGCAGAGTCCACTCCCTTGGAGATCACCTGTGAATAGCTGTCTAGTTACAAACCACTCTCCTCTCCTATTATGAGCTGTGGTGGCATAATCTGACCTTACATGATTACCCCATGAAACATCCTGGGAACAGAAGCCTCCTGAAAGCCGCTGGTTTGTCAACTAAATGTCCATCTAGTCGGCATTTATTTGGTCCTGCAAGGTCAAACGTAAAGGAGCAGAAAGGACGCCCCAGAAGAAGGAAGAGTGGGGAATAAATACAAGGGGAATTGACTTACCTGCGAGGAGTGATGCTGAGCAAAGATCTTCTCGTCACAACCTTGATAATACATTGCTTTTAAAGCAACAACAAAGGGAGCAGACAGGAAAAGAAAGAGGAAAAAGGAGAAACAGAGAAAAGGAAGTAAAGGGAAACTAAGAAAAAGGAGGGAGAGAAGAGGGGGGGGCTCTTCCTCTTGCAACTTATAAAGTTCTCAGATATCGGATACACTTATCATGTCAGCTGTATACTAGTGCTACCCATCTCTGCTTGCGTCTGCATTACAGGACGGAAATTTCCAGGCAGTGACAAACCATTCTAAATTTCCAGTTCCGAATACTGCCTGGAGTCCAGAGCAGTCAAAATGAAGCATCTTCAAACTCTGGGGTGCTTAAAATCTCTAACTGTAGGCATGTTTCACAGCCTGCCACAATCCCTGGTTAAAAGACGCAGCTTTCTTCATGTTTTCTCTCTCTGTTGACTAATGTGAGATTTAAAAAAAAAAAGGATATTCAACAGAAATACAATTCCATTTTTGACATGAGATTACTATAATCTCCTATTGCTATACTTCAAAGGCTTTAATTCTTGGATTAATGTCTCTTGGCCAGGATTTATTTTTATACATATTGGACATTTTATTCTCTTAGGTGGAGCTCTTTTTTTGGTTCTAAAAATCTTTGCAGCGGGGAAGGTCGACTTGATGGAAGGTGTGGAATTGGGCATCCAAGTTTGATAAAAAGCTCTGAAGCCTGTTTTTTTATGTCTACAGAATTCCCACCGAAGGAAATGCAAGAACTCTGCATGTCAGAAGAGCGAACTATTAGAGTGGAGATTTGTCACAGATTTACTGATTGTCTATGCAGCACAGCCTCTTTGTGTTATGACACCTCTATAGCACATTTTATTTTCTTAATGTTGTTTGGTGAAGGAAAAAAAAAGTCTGACAGTCATGCTTTTTAAATGTGCTCATCTGTTGTTTGGCATAAAATTACACATTCTTTTCCAGCATATTCACTGTCTGAAGAGTCACTGGGCAAAATTATGGCATTCCAACCAGCATGTCAAAAGCCACAACATCAGTCTCAAAATGACCTGTTTTCTACCTAATTAATAAAATGGTTAAATTGAGGATTAATTACAAATGCAACTGATTTGTGATGCAAGTGAAATCACCAAACAATGCAGAAGGATCTCTTCACGCAGGTAGACCTCCGACATTCTGTCCAGTGAACAGCAATAATGTGACCAACCTAACTTGCAGAAAGAACGGTCTGCTTCAGATCTTGAAAAAATTTCATCCACAATGATTTAGTGGAGAAGAAATGAGGACAGTCTTTAAGGATGTAGTCATTTACAATTTCACAGGAGCAGTCCAGGACTAGCCAGATAATTGTTCTATCTGTGAACTCCTGCATTGATTAAGATGTGGTGCGGTCGTCACTCCATCTCCCTCTCTGCCAACAGAACTGTCAGACAAATGAGGGCAGGATGGTTTCAGCAAAGACCTTTTATCTCTCTCATTTCTTCACCAATCCAGCAGCAGGGACATTCCTTCTCAATTGTAAGGTGGTGGGTCCTGAAAGACTCCAGTCAGAGGTGAGGATGTCTTGGTACTATATTACCTGTTCTCCAAAGAATTCACAGCCTGGCTCAGAAACAGGCACAGGGCTTTCTCCAGAATTATAGAGGATCATTCACAAAAGGGCTGCAGGAGTGGGGCCTAAGTATTTTTTAATGTAATTTTTGTTTTTTCCAGAAGAAGTAGCATAAAAGTCAATGCTTGAGTTTATATGCTCAAGAATTAGCAGCACAATATAATTACTGAAACTGTTGCCAAATCACACTTGCAGTACTTGCTTATAATTTTTTTTTAATCTTTTGGATCCAGCTTCTTAGTTTGGTCCTTTTAATCAAGCAGTTGCAGAGAAATTAATTATCCTTAAACGCCATAAAACGTTAGATTGAGGTCTGTTTTGGAAGTTTCAGAGGGCCAGCAGCCATAGCTCATTCTCAAAAAGATCGACAGCCACATTCCTTTTTAAAAACCCTTTTCTTAGCAGAAGCTGGCAAAACATTTGTACGTTTTGTCCCAGGATACAGACACAGGTACCACGGATCTCAATGAGATTCCCAAAGGCAGTGACGTAACAAATTTGGCCCCTGGCTCGGCTTCCTGTTAGTATATGTTTTTTGCTGTCTAAAATCTTTCTTGTTGGTTTGAGAAGGTAGAGAGAGAGAAAACAAAAGGTAGCTAAGTAAGTGCACAATGTTAGGACTGTAAGACTTCTCTCCAGACTGAAAAAGATACCAAGCGTGGGGGCTCCACACTTGACTCCAGCATCTCCAGCGGCTCCTCAGCAGCAAAGAAAACGGTGAAGGAAAAGCTTTGGAGAATGCAAAAACTCAGTTTCAAGTGGGACAGCAAGAGGAAGATGCACTTACCATCCGATGGGAGGACTGAGACTGAGGGAGTATGACAAATCCCTTTTCCAGAACCTACACAGATCCTAAACAAAGCTGTGAACTAGAACAACTCAGTGCACCCTTGTCACACCCTTCGTGTGTTGCATAGGTGGAAAATTTAAAAGCTAAATGGAAACACAATGAATTGACTGATGTTATGCTATCCGGTGTTTCGTGTTTGCCGGAGCAATGTTGTAGGACAGTAAAATGCAGCAGCCGACCTCTCCTCATCAGGTAAAACAAGATCAACCTTTCCTGAATGATAGACTACAAAAGTATCTGCTTGACGAGGCACAGCGAGAAGGCTAAATCTTTTCAATATATTGACTGATTTCAGTTTCTTAAATAGGATATTGATTTATCCTACCACACAGGAAGAAAAGACATTAAAGGAAAATAAAAGAAAGAAAACCAAGAACTTTATAATTCCAATTCCATTTTTAAATGAGGAAAATAACCTTATGAGCAGGTCTTAAAGACAATATTTTTAGTTTATGAAAGAAGAGTGATTTCCTCTTTTCCTAGTCCAAATAAAAAGACACAATGAATAACAAATACAACTCAAAATACCTAAGCCAAACACCAGGTCACAAACTGAAGGGCTAGCTATACAGATGTGTGTATTTTCCATAACTTCCTTAACACACACAGTCAGAACATTGCAAACTACTAAAGAAAATGACCTACCTAGTCTCCAGTGGGATGTTACTGTTAAGTAACCAGTTGTCCTGAGCATGGGCTGGCTCTTGAGTGCTGGCTGGCTGTTCTCCAGAAAGCGAGTGGTCTGTAGGAGCTGGGCTGGGGTTGCTGCGCGGAGTGAAGTTCCCTCTGTTTAGGGAACTGATGGAGGCTGCATGATGTGGATTTGGGGTGTGAGCATGTGATATTGGAGGTGGTGGAGTTCGAAGTCTCGAATGATTTTGAAGATTTGGAGGATGATCTGAAACAGAAGTAAAATATTTTTAAGGTTCATGTTCCATTCTGCTCTCATTTCTGCGCAGGCACTCCTGAAAAGTATGAAGGCTGGGATGCCACATATCCTAAATCAAACTCCAAAGGGTAACATAGCTTTGTTCCATATGCTCTAATGACACGTGCATTGATCCCCAGATGGTTGGAAAAATAGTTCAGGTTCATGCACAAAAGTTCTGAAAGCTTACAGCCCTGCAAATCCTGCCAGCCAAGTTAACTCCGATGAACAACTGCAGGTTGCACACTGCAATCTATCTGTGACACTGATTTGTGATAAAGCATGAAAAATACAACCAGCCTGGATAGACAACACTTCAGAGCAATTTTATGATGGATATACAGCTCCCAGTGAAGTTTGTTCTGCCTGTTTTGCCGGAGAACTTTCAACAGTTAAGTCGACAAGAAGACTGAGAATACATTCAATCACAGACTGAGTTTAGGCAAAGCCATAAAACTGTATCAGGGTTACACGGTGTAACAAAATCCCACAGTTTATATTGTTAGAGACGTACTCAAACTAGTAAAAAATGCATGTGGCATAAAAACTGAAGTGTCAGGAAAATAAAACAACACATGGTGAAGAAAGATGTAAAGATCAGTGATACGGCTGCTTTAAGTAAAACTCCAACTACTGGATATGGGATACAGGAAACCTATTCCTCTCTAATTTAGTAGGTTTATGCTTGTAAGTCAGTAATATACACCACTTATCTGAAAAAAAAAAATGTATATGGTATGAATCTAACACTTACCAGACAGACTTCTGTATCATGGAAAACTGACCCTCATGTACTCTCCAACGAGAGAGCTCAGAACGGAACGAACCGTACATAGTCCTACATTACAATGAATGGTATCAAAAATTACCGCAACATTTACTGACACTTTTTGAAATCTGCACGAGGATTTGGATTCAGGAATGGAACAGAAAGCATTTACAATATCTCTGCAGCCTCTTGGATATTTAGACACATAAGATAAAACACAAAGATGTATGAAGATCCATCCCATCTCTTCCCTCCTCACCCTGCACTGACTCACTACCTTACCAGTAACTACGACTGATTATGCCAAAAACCTCATGGTGGTTGAGGTGGTGTAGCAAAAAAAAATAGAAGGTGTTAATTACGAAGGCGCCATTACTCTGTTTGAGCATGTATCTGGCTTTGTTAGGTTAGATGTGGGATGAGGGGTATATATTCCATGGGGAGAACTGAGGGTTATCTACATTTGGACAGACAGATTATTCCCAAGAACCTAACTGACTATTCAGAAGTCTGACTTGTGGCTATTCGAGTTTTGATTACAACTGATGCCTGAGATAACTACTCCATGCCAACAAGAAAGGAGGGGAAATGGGTGAACCCTGGAAATATGCAAGAGGTGTTTTGTGAAGATCTCCTGCTACCAGTTGACTTCTCCTGCTGGAGGCACCATTTTCAGATTGTGAGTCAGAGCCTGTTTCCAAAGATCTGTTATGTAAATTCCAATTTACACCCTATTATTGCAGACACATTGCAGATGCTATTATGGATAATGCTTTCAAATCAAGTAAAAATGTGTCATTTTCACTCTCTATTTGCATACCCTCTGTGATTTCTTTGCTAAGTAAAGACAGCACATCTATCTTACTCTGTTCTATGTGATTTTTCACAGGATTTTATAGCTTATATTTCATTTCCTGACATTTAGGTAGCTTTTCCTCCCAGAATATTTTTAATTTTATTCATATACAAATTCTGAACACTTCTGTCATGTCTGAGCATTACTGAATTTAATATACCTTGACTAGGATTAGCAACTATTTCCCTTGCCTTACTATCATTTTTTTTCTTCTTCTTCTCAAGTTAAGGAACATTAGAAAAAAGGTGTAGATGAAAGCACAAGCTATGAAATCTTCCTACTGAAAATTATTGCAGCTGTGCAGGATTCTCTTGATGCGACAAAACTATTGAGGTTCTTACCCTCTGCGGTCACCCAAATTCCTACGGGAACTGCAAAGGACAAGAGAATCCCACAAAGTGAATTTTTTCTTGATTTCCTAAAATTGCAGTTGTCCCCTTATCTGAACATGTTCTTTTTAACTTGTTCTGCAATGATTGTGTGATATAAAGTGTGTGGTTATATTTCCCCTCAGGAAGAAGAACCTTAATGCTGGCTGCAGTGGCTCTCTTACATCATGTATCTTACACAGTGGGAAGATGCTCGGACTATCGTGCTATATATATTATATAGAAACACTGTATATTTACAGCTGCTTAGGCAGCAAAGAATTTTTGCAGATCCCACAACATAGGTGGGATAGAGGGGAAGTCAGATCCAGCTTTCTACATCTAAGAGCAAGCCTTTATGGGGACAACAGTACCACAGGAGATCAGAAGACCTTCTAGAGGAGCAGGACATGGGTTAGTGGGTTGGGTGGTGTTGGGTTGACGGCTGGACTCGATGATCCTTGAGGTCTTTCTCAACCTTAATGATTCTATGATTCTATGATTGTGGTCTGCACAAATTGTACCAGGTTCCCCAAGACCTTTCTTAAGCAACTATAAGATGGCTAACTATGACTATTTGGAAGTTATCTTGGCTTACTCAAAAAGAGGTAATTTTCACAATTTTCCTCCTCGCAGTTTTCCCCTTTGGATTCCAAAAAGACATGGAGTTTATATTCCTTCTCTACTTGTTGTTGGCATGGAAAACCTCACCTATGCTATTCAGTTAAGCTACCAGCTAAGCTAACAAAGCACTGAAAAATAAAATAAAAAAAAAAAAAGCACTTTGTAAAACACACCCCTCATCAAATTTCTAATCACCTTCAGAGTCAAGCAACACAGCCTACAGCATGATTTTAGCCCTGAAGGGACAGCAAAAGAAGAGATCTGTCACTAGCAAAGGAGTCCTCACAGTCTTAGGTGCCAGGTGACAATGAAACAGGGTCCCAGTGATGAAGTTCAACATTTCTAGAAGACGGGCTGGCACTGTGGAAGTCTAAATAGCTCTGAACTTAACGAACAGCCCTATAAGCCTCATTTTCTCTAATTTTCTCAAGTGTGACAAACATGAAACATGTCAGTACTCAAATGTAATGAAACATTGGAAATCCAATTGCGAAAAACACCAGTAGAAATCAAGTTGCCTTTGTGTTGCTTTTTTGTTTGTTTTTTTTTAACATTAAAATGTCATTGACTAACACTGGCTTGGTAACCACAGATAAAGCAGAGCTGAAAGATAACTCAGTTAATGAAGCATGTACTTGGCACATATTAGAGAGCCCTGACAGAATCCTGTGAATGAAGAACTGAATAAATGTGAACCATAAAAAGATTACCAATGAGGAGCTAATACGATAAAATTCGAATAAAAGGTCTAAACCCCACGTTCCTTTTCTTTAATCTTTCATGAGTAGCACTGTTTTGAAATTAGTCTATGTAACAATTACACTTTCTGATTCATTTGGTTTTGGGATTGTGTTCAGGGCAAATGTGCTAACCTCAGAGTGAGAAACACATCCTTGTCATTTTTTCCCAGCTTCTCCTGTTCCTCCACACATTTGTCATTTGTACGTCTGCTCATATTCAGACAGCCTGATGCCTGACTGGTGTCTGGGTTAGGTACAGGAAATATTTCTCTTTATTCACTGCATATAGTGCCAGGTGGAATGAATCACTCATTGCTCCCTTGAACTTAAACTCCACAGTAGCTGCGATGACTAACTTGGTAGTGTGACTTTGGGTAATCGTGCTTACCCTCACACACTGATAAATCCCTCCCTCGTTGCAGAGGAAACAATCTTTTTTTTTTTTTTTTTTTTTTTTTAAATAATGAACTCTGCATTCAGCTGACAGAGCAGCTAAGAGCCTTACTTCAGCTCCAGGACCACGTTTCAATCTGCTCACAGCACTCACACCACCAGCCAGCTGAAATTACCTTCATAGGCTCCCTGTCCCTTTGGGTGCCACTGGGTATGGAAGCTGGGGTGCCTTCCCTCACCTGATGAGCTACCTAAGGTCAGGTGAACTATGAAAGACTGAATTGGATCTTTCCCAATTCAGAGAATTTGCTTGCCAGAAGCAGGTTCCCTATCACACACATGGCAAGCCAATGATGGCACCTGCAAAATGAAAAGTAAGCAAAATATTTAACCCCCAAGTCGGCAGATAATGGAAACATAGGAGGAGAAAAATCAGAACAGGACACGCTGTCTGCTCAGAGGGTACCTTGGTGGCTTCTGGTGACAGCCAGGATTAACTGCAGACCAAGGTTTTCTCCCATTAGCATAGAATCCAGCTCAACATGCAACATCTGGACTGAGCTCAAGACATGTTCAAAGGTGGCACCTCTGTCGAACCAAGCAGGTCCATCTCAGGGCTGTTATTGATATTCTGCAATCTAGAGGAGAATTCCCCCCTTTAAGGAATGTCTTTCAACAGGGTCTGTCAGGTGGTCTAATGTGTAAGCCACCCCATCCCGTGGAGTGAAACAGGTCACTCAGTATTCAGACAATTTATCTGCCCAGAGATGTCTGTTTTCCCTCACTAGCACTTAAAAACCGGGATTAGTGGTACAATTCGAGTGACTGAATCTCTCTTTAAGAAGTACATCCACTGAATTTATCTCCTCCTACCATCAAGAGGAGTGTTTGTACCATGCTGTGAAATACATGTTTTTCTCCAGCAACATCTTGTGCTGCTGGTTTTCAAAATGCTAAGCCACAAAACGACACTGAATCGTAAAAGAAAACAGAGGACTGATGTATAATCTCATTAAGTGACAAAACAACAATAGGAAAGCTACCTTGATGGTTTTTCTCTATTTTATTTTAAGTAACAGCATAATCAGGACCGGCTGTTTCCCCAAGCACTCTCACCAGAGGAAAGCATCGTCCTCACCACGCAGTTAAAATCAGCAGCGCGTGTGTCCTGGTTCTAGAGTGTATTCTGGTTCAGAGTCTTCTTCTCAAAGCTGAGCTCT